TGGTGAAACAGACCTTTCAAAGTCTTCAATTTTGATTTTCCGATTAGGGAAATTGTCATTTGTTGTGGAATGCTTGTTCTGTGAAGTTTAGGAAGGTCTTATATCTTGGCAGTTGCGGGCTCATCCTGTTTCAAGAATATGGCAAAAACTCCCGAAATCATTTTCTTTCTTGTAAAGTGTTTCAGCTTTTTTAAATGCATGCGCTCGATGCATTTATAGGGAATTCAGTGGCATCGTCTCTTGTCGATGAACTTCTTCAAATGGACGACAGAGTCACGATTTTTGACGGACAGAGTAATGACGTCTTCGTCCTGTTTAGGTGAAGTTAACGCCTTCTTTTCGTTGCAAGAAGGCGCTTAAAAGGACATTTCTGAACGTTGTCAACTAACCCCACTGAAGCACGGAATTTGCTGCAACCGTATCTCGAATTCGCTTGCTTTGGTCTGTTTCATATGTTACTAATCGCTATGCGACTGTCTTTGAGTGATCCACATTGAGCCCCAAGACACAGCATGACAAGCCGGTCCCGTAAACCGATCGGCAAACATATTTCCAGCAAAAGAAATATTCCCGGCGCAACCGACAGCACAACAGACCGTAACTTAACGGTTAAGTGCGTTGGACTTAACAGCGTACAATGGCCAGATATCGCGAGTCCGAGGCTCACGTAGGACAAAACCTGATCATGGATAGGACGGATTGACGACGTCTAACAGGGCTGGGATGGTCACCTTAATCCCCACTGTCTTTATTGAGACTCCCTTCTGCATATGTATGGTAGAATGGCGCTCGCCAATCAGGTTAGGGGACAGGCCTGCCGACTGTGCCTTGGAGCTCAATCGAGAACCCTCGCAGACAGTCGCGTAGCGGCTAGTAATATATGCAGAAGGAAAGTACCGACAAAGACGAGGAAGACTGCGATGACTATTTCTGTCTTATTAGCCGTGGCCAGCTAACTTTGCCCAACTCTAGGCTTTCGTCGCACATCAGCCCCGAACATGACTTCTTTGGTCACCACGCGTTAGTAAAGCCAACGTTCTTAACGAATGAGTCACGACTCTATTGTCCTGTCGGTTTGATCGGTGGTTCTACATTGAGCCCAAAGGCACAGTATAACTAGCACGTCTTGCAAACTTCCCAGTAAGCAACTCTTCATAATATCTTATGTGTATACGAATTAAACTTAGCCAACGAAAGATTAATTGTGTTGGCTGATAACTACCTTGAGGTTAGGCTGGATGAGTTAAAGTGTTAGTTAGACACATCACATATGGGCTCCCAACCCACAGTTGTATGAGGTTCGCTATTCTACTCACCGATACATATATGACGGAAGATGCTGCATCAGACTCCCTCAGGCTCCATCATTAGTTTTGGACTCACAGCGTTAGAGTTTCATAAACAGTCTTATTATAACATCCAAAAATTATAATAAATGGAGCAATGGGTACAGTCGATAAAAAATAGATATGGGAGAGTAGTATTTTGGTAAGTTATCTTCCGCTTCTCTCCTTGTAATTAAATACTTTACTCTTTTACCAAATCTAATGAACAAGCAAACACACCGGATCTAAGGCCTCTATATCTGACTTTGCGAACTGCTTTTACGTCGTTTATTATCATGTTTGGCATATCTCCTGTAAATGGTAACGCATTTTTCCCCTAAACTGTGGACAATCGACGTTTCCGAAAGCCTAGAGGGTAGGCATTGTTTACTTGCGTTTACACGTACTTTCAATCTATTAACATGCAATCAAATCTCTGAAATGTGGGAATTTTTGCACTTTCAATGCTGAAATTATTGATCTCCGCACTAAGCAGATATGACTTTAAATCAAGCTTCATTTTCCTATATTTCTAGAGGTAAAAGCGTGTTTTTGAGAGTTCTCAATTAGTTCCTTGTGGTGTTTGACAATTTAACTTCGATTACGAGCTGCGAAATAAGTTCTGGCGTTAAAGAATTTAATTTTTTCGACCAACCAGACGTGTTAATTCCTTCCAAGGGACAAACGTGACTTTTGTTGCCATAGTTTTTTAGGAGTTAAGTCGACTTTTAGAGTCTGATCAGTCAGTTCTAACTGACAAAAAGCCTGGATGATGTTCATCTGAAAAACATTTGGATAACTCAGGTTTCCACGGTCATACTCAATACAGAAGATAGTCAGCTTTTTATTTTAGCACACTTGATGGAACCTCTTTTGAGACACTGGTCCAGAAATGACTTTTGTCTTGTAAAAGTTATTTGGACTTTCAAACCAGCCACTAGGCTCCGACTTATTCCACATAAAATGTGCACATTTTTCCGAAGTAACGACCACCAGGTTGCTCTTCGCTCCAAATCAGTTTAAATGTTGCAGACTTATACTACACTACTTTACCGGACAAAAACTTTTTACCCAGAGCCCAACGCTGTGACTTGTTAATTTGCATCGACCACTAGGATCAGCAGTTTCGAAAAGAGCCGCTCCCTCAAGGTCGCTGGCACGTACATCAATTCTTTCGAAATTGTTTTTTTTTTCAATTCTACCCGAGCACGACATTATGCATGACTTCTGTAGAATTTTAAAGGTTACGGGGTAACGCCTGAAAAAAACATTATCAGAAGGCGGTGCTTCTTAAACAGGCTAGATTATTGTATTCGGCTCCTTTTGCAGACCAAGCAGTTAAGTCCAAATACCCACATTAAGGTTACGAAGTCTTCCTCCGCGACGACGGCAAACGCACCTGGTATCTGCTCTTTAGAAAGACAACATTTAAGTTGAGTGCATTCGTATGTTTAGGAAAGATCCCGATCAGAGCAGAAGGCTAATGGGAAAGCTAAGCGTCAGTGATGACCACGCTGAGTCATATTAACTTAGGAGAGAGAAAGCGTGTAAGTAGTGGTATGTGTGCCGCGCGCCAATTGGATAGTCAGATGAAAAGACATATCAAATTGACGCCACACTAAGGTTCGCGGGCGGGTGTTGACGTCTGTGTTCACTAGAAAACCCTGTATCTCGTGTTAGCGGGGTTCATTGCAATCGACACACGTAGAGAAGCATGCCGCGCCGATACCTCCTACCGATCGATGGTAGCGACAGTTGCAAACATGCCGCCCGTTACTACCTAGAGAATATGAAGCAGGATGATGATGTCCTTTTGTTCGTCCACGTCATCGAACCCTCATATTCTTCGCCCGCAGTCAGTTTAACAAAAGACAATTCAAATGCAATGGTGGGGGCCATGACAAAGTCCATGCAGGAGAACGTGGAGGCCGGGAAACTCCTTGGCCAACGCTATATGTCCTGGGCTAAGGAACATGACTTACAGTCTAATGCCTTTGTACACGTTGACCCCAAGCCTGGAGTCGCTATTCTGAAGGCTGCAGCTGACAGGCAAGCTGATCATATAATCGTCGGTAGTCGCGGTCTCAACGCTATTGGACGATCTCTCCTCGGCAGCGTTAGCAACTACCTCGTACACCACTCCCCGATTCCGGTCACCGTCGTACCCTGTGCGCCCGAGCAGAAGGCGGAAGTCAAGGGAGTACGGCGATTCAGTCTATACTAAAACGACTTGCGATACACCAACACATCTTCTTCGAGATGAACTAATTCACCTGAGGCCAGTGTCCGCAATGTTTGGGTAAAGCAAAACAAGTTGCGGAGTCTCTTGCCCTCCACCATCTCACAGAAGTTTTTTATTATAAATCCACACGAAAAGTGAATATCTGCAAGTTCTCCACTACATTTGGAATAACTGTAAAGATGTAATTCTTTTCATCATGTAGAGCCTCCCACTTGCTGCCATTCTCAGTTTTTTAATCTACATGACAGTTCATTTGAAAACTGTTAGTTTCACTTTACTTCACTGAACTGGTCGAGCTCCTTGTCTAATCTTTACGGAGGTTGTTAGGATGAACATGCAAAAATTTAGCAATTAAAACGTGAAAGGCCATCTGACGTTAATTCCGGAAATCATAAAGCATTAATCGCTGTGATTCATTTGATCTCAATGCCTCAGTGTACTAAATAGCCTAACACCACGTTTATTTGCAAAATTGACATCAACCCTACAGTTAGCTGCCAAACTTGAAAAACAATATTCCCAAGGGTGGTATCAATTTTCCTCGGAGAGAAGACAAAGTGGATTTGTTAACTTTAATTTTCCCACATTCCAGTTCGAGAAGAAATCTGGACAAGCATAGAAAATGTCACCATTGACCAGAAAGCCCAAAAGTTTTGTGAGAATTGACCTATACCAACTATATTTGTTACCCTCTGGTCGATATAAGCTCTAATATTGACTTTTTAAAAGTACACATGTACAAAATGCTAGCTCCATGAAATTAAACATTCTATGTAAAACTTTGCTAAGTGATGAGACCCTATGAGGGTGGCAGTATATGCAATAAGCAGAGGAAGAAAACCAAATTAAATCCCCGTAAAAGTGCGCGGACGAATTTTGTTTTTTCAGACAAATTTTAAACTACTAGCTTAGGTGAGTCATACTTGTTAATAAACACTATATTAGCCAACATGTAACGATAACGAAATGACGTCCAATTCAAACCACCTGTTGTAGAAAGTAAAATCTGGCGAATTACCCTTACCGATAAAGACAGAGGAGACTGGAATGGCCGTTTCAGACTTGTTAGCCGTCTTCAGCCAGTCATACCCAACCTCGAAGTGTGGAACACCTGGGGCTCGATCCCGCCGCCTGTTAGTTAGGAGTCCAACGCTTCTAACCACTGAGCCACGGGCCCGTTGTCTTTTCGGTTGCTATCGGGAGTACACATTGGTGGGGGGCGCTCACTGATCGTCTTTTGAGGGTACTCACTCGTCCTGTTGTGCCAAAGGGTTCTCTCTCGAGCCCAATCAGCACCCGCACAGTGGCGCGGGATATAGGCAGAATGGTATTACGGACAAAGGGAAGGGAGACTGGAATGGCTGATGACGGCTAATAAGCCAGAAATGGCCATTGCAGTCTCCCTTGTCTTCGTTGGTAATACCCTTCTGTTTATATCATGCGCCGCCCTGCGACCGTTGGTTGGGCTCGAGAGAGAGAACCCAATGGAACAAAGAGACGAGTGAGTTCCGTAAAACGACCGGTGTGCGGCCCTCCACCACAGTAAAGTCTGGCGTTATTGCAAAAATTGCCATTGCATGAAAATGCAGTTCGAGGACTGAAAACAGTAGGTAAAAAACTAACTCTTCACTTGGTGTAAAAATTTACTTATTTCGAGCAACGAAATACGACGAGATGGTCTGCGAAGTCACGCAATTACAGTCACTTCAATCTCGCGATACTCACAATTGCGGAAATTCCGTGGACAACAAAAAATTCATCCTATGTAACTTTTCATTGTTTTCAGAAATAGAATAATGATCAAGTGAAACACCGTCTAAAGATTGTGCGTTCTAGAAAAAGAAGAGTTTAAAAGATTTATTGTCGATTTTCTGAAAGTCACGGGGATTCGTAACCTTACGTGCCTGACTGCCATTAGGAGTAAAATTGGTCTGTTCCAGCAAAATGAGTTTTTCTGAACTTAAACAACATAAGTTAGGACTTAAAACATTTTGTCGGTCAAGTGCACACTTCAATCAGTGTTGCCTCGACTAAAATTATTTGCATTTTTACTGGCTCATGTTTCTTTGTTCGTCAAAACAACATCCATATAACACTTGTTGAATTCACTAATAACGTGGCAATTAGCAGCTCAAGAACCGTGGAACGCAAAAACTGAGGAGACCAAAGAAGAGAGTTTGATTGAATACGTCTCAAATGCTAGCGAATACTTTACACTTAAGAGAACTTCTAATGCCAAAAATCGTTTTGTTTCTCTTCGACTGCACGATCCAAAAATGCTCCGGATTTCTCCTCTCTGCAGTCCTTAAGGTCATCCTTCATAGTAGCCTCACCGCTCAATCTGGAAACGGCTAAAAATTACTGTCTTACGATCGGTTGGGGCATTTTTTAAAGGGAACCCCGTCCATAATGTTTTCGTGAAAAAAAAATTTGAGTAATGTTACGTTGT